GGCGACACGTTTTCTTATTACCGGCAACACAAATTGTTTGGTGGGTTATATCGAAAGGTTTGCTTTAGTATAAATCGGCATTCGCAGCATACGATTACGAATGACTCACCGGCGTTAAGCCGTTGAAAAACTTTTGGCAAATAAACGTGCAAGAAAAAGTTCCGATACTAGCAAGTCAATATTCTTGTTAAGTCTCATCCAAAAATTGCTTGTTGTTTAAAGAATAAAGGGAATGCCGTATTATACTAAAGCCAGCCTTTCGACATAAGCTACTTTTCCAAACGAACACAGATATATATATGTATATGTATATATATCCATAGGGTTCTCGGAAACTTTTCTAACGATTTTTATAAAATTTTGTACACAGATAATGTTTTGTATGTTAAGGCTACCTGAGAAGACTCGTATAAGGTTGCCACCTATTCGAAAGTAGTTGCAAATTAATTAAAACATCATAATATGGGTATCAACTGGAAGGTATTTTAAAGATCCCTCAAAAATATTTTTAATAAGGTTGCCACCTGTTTTGAATCGCACATTTATTTAATGTTTTGTTTAGAAAAAAGGGTAAAACTATTAATGGGTACCGATAGAAGGTACTTAAAAGATGCTTTCCCTATACGCAAAATGTTAGCTATTAGGCTATTAGTGTAAGGTTGCCACTTATTCTACACAATTTATTTAAAGCATCGCAATCTGGATATCAAATAGAAGGTATTGTTGAGAACTTTGGTCAGAAAATATTTTCCATCAGGGTTGCCACGCTTCCATGTGATGCAAATTTTTGTTTTGTTGATCTCAATCAACATTTTCGTATTTTGGAATACGGTTGCCACCTAAATTTTCGAGTAAGGAGTTTACTTAATAGATATCGAAATCCTATTTTTTTTTGTTTATTTCCAAAATATTTTTTCAAAGCTACCCAAATCTTAAAAACTTTAAAAAGTATATACACTCCGGGCAAAGTTCGGTCATCCTGGTACTACTTTCTTACATACAGGAAATGCACAACTACGGCAAAAAAAAAAATCACAAATTAGCAGAAGGTCCTAGACCCATATAGTTAATCCTCGAAATCCTTTTGCATTCTCGGGTGAAATTTTTTCTTTATGGTCATATTAAATGAGCAATTTGTTGCCTGAGTTTTGTTAGAATAAGTGGAAAAACGAGTTAAATTTTATGTCGGAGCAAAGTATAGGGTGAATGAGCAAGAAGTAAAATTTCACGATGAATAATTTGGAGAACATTTTAACCCATTAAATCTCTCATGAAAGGGTCGTCTTGGCCCCTTTTTTGAATAGTTAGAATAAGATGGCATTTGTGAGGTCGGTAGAGGTTGGAAAATTTTACTAGGGGTATCCTTAGATAAAGAACATAAACGTCCACAGGAAGAAAACAAATGCAGACATAGGTATATCCTCTTGAAATATGAAACAGAAATTTACGCATACAACGTGATGCTATTCCATAAAAAGTAACACTGACAGATTTATTGCAACAAGAATACACCCTATAACAGACAAATAACAAACCAACCAATCGTCACAAACCATAGAATTTTCAAATATAACGGATATTAGTTGTTTGTGGTTTGTCGGCGTTGCGGTGTTCATTGGGTGTTGAGCTATAGTTAAATGAACACAAACGAACCTTTTTCCGTTACCGTTAACACAGGTGTTTACGATTCTGATAGTGTTAGTGATTTGGTTATTTGTGGCTGCATTGCAATGATGAGCAGCCCACATGCCAGACAGGCAGTCTGTGTGCAATGAATTAACTTAGTAATGGCAACTGTAAATTCAGCACAGAACTCATTCACATTGGCGCTTTGGTAATCGTAGATATGTATGCAAATGGACTCAAATGAAGCATTGACCAATCGGCGAGTGCCTCGAGCAAGTCTGTGTTGCAGGAAATTATTGATTAAGCCATAAACTACGCATATTTCCTGGCTGCTTAACTAATAACTCAGAGCGGTGCGTTGTGGCAAGCTGCTTGAAATGCGAACTAAATGGATTTACAGTTTTATTGAGCACATTGTAAAGCAATAGATACACAAATAAACACATTCGCAATGCTTTTGGTATTACATTTGTATGTATGTAAGTAGGCTTGTGCAACGGAGCATACTAGCGACTAATGCAGTGTAGCGCTCACAAGGATAATAACTAAAATTTATTGCATTTCCAATGCAGATGGCAAAAATCATGGCGAAATGACTATGAAAGCTATATAAAGGCTTACAGCTAGCAAAGTTTTTGGAAATTTATATGCAATATGCAACAACAAAGCTGTTCATAGTACACACTGCATTCGGCTATCTCCTCCTCGTACTCTCACGTCTGTGTGCGTAGTTAATTTTCGAATCCAAGTTTCTTATTTTTTTTTTCTGCTGCTGCACTAGAGACACTCTGGCGTACGCATAATTTCTCTATTAACCCCGGGGATTGTGCTTTTGCCAATATTCACATATGCATACATACAAACTACATAAGTATGCATACAGTTAGGCGCTAAGCAGCACTAATAAACTCTTGCCAATTGTGATATATGAAGAGTAATCGTTATCACACATTTGCGGCTGGCCGAAGGGGCCTCTCGGTACAATATTTGTGGATGCTATCAATTTATGGGGAAGTTATGCAATTTTCGAACACCAAGTTGGGACAGTTTACCAGCCAATGTGACTCTACATGGAATATTGCACTTTATGATGCCAAATAGGCAACTACACTGCGTACTAAGTTATAATAAAATTTTATTTATTTTAGCATGCGAGTAGCAAAATTTTTGGCAACATTTTTTAGAAAATGGATCGATAAATAAATACAAATACATAACACATGCGATCATATATGTACATTAGACGGCATTAGTACTCCCCATAAAAAAATAAAATAAAAGCGGTACTGTGTTTCCATTGCAATTATAAAATCTATTATATTTTAGGACTTCCACCAAAATATTCCGGAAAAATATTAATATTTAGATACGTGAGCTGGGCCGATTTTAAAATACCTAAAAAAATGGAGTTTTTCATGAATAAAAATAGTTTCTTAAAGATTTTTTTTAAACGAATCCCCTCAAACGACAAAACGGTTTAAGCTTAAAAAATTTTCATTAAAATATTTAAAAAGAAATGTGAAACAAAAAAATTCTACGGAATCGTAATAATGAGATTTTTGGTGCTGGGTTTTTAATTGTTTGCCAAGATTGGTGTAAGAAAAACTTGAATAACTGAACCTAACTATGCGGATTTAGACTTTCGAGGTATCATTGGAAAGGTATTTTCTCACCCTTTTTATTTCTTTGCCAACAAACTCATTCAAAGGATGAAAGAGAAAGGTAGGGCGTAAATTAGTTTTTTTTTTGCACAGAAATATAAATAGTGGGAAAATACCTTTCTATTGATATCCCATAAGCATCGGCGTAGCCAGAATGAAATTTAGGGGGGGGGGGNTCCAATTGCTATAGGCGAAGTTACTTGCTGGGTCAACGAGTGTACACTGAAGGTTTCTTCATTGGGTGGTACTCCACGCGCCATGGGTGATTGTACAGCCGAAATGCCTGCCATGTCGCCATCTAAGTTCAAGTTGGTAGCTGCCGATATGCCGCGAGCATATTTCATTTTTTGCCTCTCGAAGCGTTCACGCTCACGTTCTTCTCGCAAACGCTGGAACTCGTCCTCCGGTTCTTGTTCCTCCTCAACTTCCTCGTCAATTTCTTCAACTACGAAAGAGAAGGAAAGCCGTAGGCTAACTAGCGATTGACTTAAGTAATTGTTCATAGTGAGTTGTGTTTACAGTTATGTGCAAAATATTTTGCAAAATTATTTCGTTAACAAAACCACGAAGTCTGTTTGCCTATTCCAAGTAAGAAAAGAAAGCAAAGCGGATGGGTCTGGAGATTAACGAGGCCAAGACGATGTATCTGCTGCGCAGCAAGATGGAACAAAGCGAAGCTGGTAGAGTTCACTCTGAACGAAGCGAAGCGGAGCTTTTCTCATAGCCTTGGCGGCAAAGGTACCACAGAACTTACCGTCAATGAAAAGCAGCAGAAATATTTACATGAGGCAGCTCTTGGAGTTTTTGATAGATTCTGCGGAAGATTGCCGGGCCTTTGCGATTTGCCGATGGGCAATACCGCAGAAGATAGAGCGATGGATTGCAGCTATGTCATTCGAAGAGATAAAAGTATTCAACACGATACCCGAAGGTGGAAGCAGATGGATAAAAAGGCCATTACTGCGATGGAAAGACCAAGCGGAGAATGACTTGCCTTCACTTGGTATTTCCAATTGGTGGCAGTTGGAAGAGAAACGACTGGCGTGCTTTGTTGAACACGACCAAAATCGCTTAGGTGGTTACAGCGCCAACAGTTGTTGTACAGTAAAAAGTCTGATATACCTCATTGCAAAATATTCTTAATTTGCCTTCTATTAGCCTTTAGCAGGCAAATTGAGTTGATAAAAGATCAAGTCAATCATACTCAATTAAAACAATTTAAATTATGTACTCTTATTACGTACACGTCACTTGCGCGGACGAACCACTCTCATGTTGCAGGCTTTCCACACTACTAGGTAGCACGGTATATTCATGATCGCCATGAAATAACTGACGCACATCTTTTGTTGTTGATATGTCTGGTTGATCGGTTAAGGTTTTGTCTGCATCCAAATCATCTAATTTTTCATCAATAATATGCAATGCCTCAGCAGTGCGTATTATAGTCGGCGATTTGGCTAGGGAATGTACTGAACCGTTAGTCTGTGTTGATGCTTGCTTCTCAGCATCTGGTTGTGATGGCGTGCTATCTTTTTCATTAGGTTCACGCGCAAGAAACCTTTGTAAGGCAGTACGAAAGCGTGTACTGGTATCGGTTATTCGGCTAATTGACGATGATGCAGTTGGGTGGTCAGCAATTCGGGTACTGGTAGTCTAAAGAAAAAAAAAGAAAATTATGTTTTTTGTGATAAACTGAAAGTGTTCTAAACAGGAAAATGGAAAAGTAGTCCTAGGTGACTTAATGACCCATTCAAAAATAGTTAGTCCGTTTTACTTACCACTCCATCATATTTTGACTCAGATCGTGAGAGTGCAGTCGTCTGGTTGGCGGTGAAATCCAGTCTTGCAGTGGACTGTTCAGGTGGCTCTTCACGCTTGCTATCCCCTTGATAAGGCAGTTCATTGGGAAAAATTTCATCCCAGTATTGGTCCTTCACCAACTCGGGATGCTCGTGATGCATTTCGTCGACAATGAGATAGGAAACTTGCAAATTCCTATCAATCATCCAGTTGACCTATGAAGATAATAAAACATGCTCAGCCTTAAATATTCATTTAGTTTCTAGCTACTCGCCTCAAAGTCATCATCGTCCTCTCCAAAGGGATTGATCAGAGTCTCGGCCACTTTTAGCCAGCCCATGTAGAAGAAGAATTGCAAAGTAGTGAACAGCGGAAAATAAAGATCGACATAGTTTTGATTGTCCAATTTGGTCCACTGATGTCCGATCACCTGGCATATGAAGTAAGTATATACAGCGAGCGTTACGACTTGCGTATAAACAAGCGGCACTGAAATCGTATCATAGAAAAGTAATACACCGCATTTTCCGCGAAATTTGTTCAACGCATCAATGATTGTTTTCACTGAAAAATCATCGCGTATACGTCCCTCTTTGCGCGCTCGTGTTATAATACTAGCAGCCCACACAATGGGCAGCCAATATTTGGGATATTTTGGAAAAGCAATATTCAAGTCTTCAATAACCAACTTTTCATTTTCGAGCAGCAAACCTGCTTCGACCAGATGATCGAGTGTTGGAAAACGTTTCTTTACGCGGGGCGCAATCTGTGTAAAAACAATGGTGAGACAGAGGCAGACGTAGCGCATAACAGTGCGTCGCATGACGCGAGCACGCTCATCCTGCCCATGCACGTTGGCGCTGACGAATACAGCAATCGGATCGGGCCACGGTATGGTCATATACTGATCCCACCAACGCTGCATCACAACGGTTACGTAGAAACCGAGCACAAAGGAGAGCGGTATAAGGGAACCGTAGCTGTTGCAGTAGTGTACGAGGTTCTCAAAGGTTCTGCAAAAGAATTTTGTAAATTTGCAATGCCTTTACCATTTGATTTTCTAACTCACTTTTGCCCTCTTTCACTCAATAGAAATTGATAGATTAAACTAAGGGTGTAGTAAATCGTGAGAAAGGCGAGCAAATCACGCCAAATAAGTTTATAAATGCTGCCACGCCATCTGAAAGCGTAAATTAGTAAACTTAGATAAGATTTAATTTATTTTATTTTATCGTTATTAAAAGTCTTTCCTGCGGAGCAATTTCAGAAAGCAACCAAATCCACGACAGGATGCTACTTCAGCCGTATAAGTGACGGTCATATTTTATTTTTAATGAAAAGCTTTTGTAATTTTCGTGAATTGAATTTTATGACTGAGAACATATTTTTTTGATGATGTGAGCTTAGGCAGGAATTTGTTTGATTGAAGTTTTTTATACAAGCCCAGTAGTGCTTGATTTGAAATGAATACTCCAAAATTTATCGCTGGATACAAAAAAAAAAAAAATCTTCAAAAAATTATAAATGCATACAAAAATGGATTCGAGCTCCAAAAAATGCTTTATATTTATTAACCAAATCCTCATGTGAAGAAACGCTTGCTTTAGAATGGGAGTTTAGTTAAGTTCAATAGCCGAATTTGAATGAAATTGACAAACGATAATAATAATAAATATTTTGCAAAAGAATTGGCATTAAAAATTCGTTATGCATGTAAAATCATTATCAATTGAAAAGTATGTTTTCCTGTGAGATAATCACTTTTGGTGTTGGTCTCCTCAGCTGAGATACTTTTTACTCTTTAGCAATGCCTGGACTGGCTGTATTCTACAAAATCCTACCTGCAGTAATCGTCCTGTGTTGGTCAGTTTTCTCTGGAAACTGTTTTCTTGATACCGCCATGACAAGCTCTGGAAGTGACTGCCATGAAATAATAAAATATCACGCTGTTGGGTATTTTCTCCGAAGCTAAACTTTCTGTACCAGGGATTAGACTGGCTGTAGCATACAGGATTTGAAGTTGGTGAAGATCTCTCGAAGAAAGCGATTTCTCTTAGTTCCCAGACTGGGTGAGCAATTGCTCCTAGTATGGCTAGATATTCCTGTCACTGATTTTCTTGTCACCACAATGTTGGTGCTAAGTAGATTTTCCCCGGTGTGTTTATCTTGGTTGTGGCAACCTGATAATGATAACTTTTATTTGTTTCTTATTTACTTTGGCGAGACTACGTTAACCGGGTGCCTGGCTTCGACCATGCATCCCTATGCATTTTTGGATGAGGAAAACAGAGAAACTTATTAAAAAAAATCCAGCTCGCTTATCTACTAATATATTTAAATAATTATTATTTTTTAAATATCAATTCAGCGAACTTCTAATTTGTTCATACAACTTTAATAATTTTTGTGCAGAACTGTTTTTTTCGTAGGCGACCTTGCTGTGATGCGGATTACGGCTAGGTGCTCGTCCGCCGGGGTTGAAACGGCAGTACTCGGCGATAGAGTCTCTCCCCCATAAAAAATTCAACTTCGTAGTTGCGCTCCTTTACACACCAGTTTTGGTAGCCGTCGCAAGGCCCCCAACGCATTTCTTGGATGGTGGTGATGTAAGCTTTTGTCCTAACGAGGACATCAATCAGCCGGGCCGAGGCACCTCCCCATTAAAGATCCGCATATTCAAAATAAGTCGGAGTGGCCCCACCGAATCTGCGCCTCTGTCTGAAGTGAGCCAAGGCAACACTCGGATTGGTTACCGCATTTCACACTTGGGTTGCCAACGGTGCCCAGGGTTTCCGAATGAGGACGAACGTCTGGATTGAGTTTAGATGTGCAACCGTAACTGCATACCCAGATTAACGACTACACACCATTTCACCATTTAATTCAGCAATATTTCATTAAGGCTGCTTACTGGGCATTGCAAAGTATGTTTCGATGCTTTTGAAAGCAAAACAATTTACCAAGGCGAATTAATATAAGGTGATAGCAGGAGTACAAAAACCAAAATGCACATGTATTTTGTTTTTGCTTTGGCGGCATAAACTGTCAAAATCTGTAAGAGTGTGTGTAGAAATTCAAACAAAATTTTTCAATTTGATATCAGAAGCCGTGCGGCGAAACACATACACAAAATCAGCTGAGCTAGTAACACCACCTTATATAAATTCGCCTTGACCTGTTTCATACGCCTTGATTGGGAATGAGAAAATGACACCAATAAATCAAAGGCGAATTAATATAAGGTGATAGCAGGAGTACAAAAACAAAAATTTAAATGCATTTTGTTTTTGCTTTGGCGGCATAAACTGTCAAAATCCGTAAGAGTGTGTGTGGAAATTCAAACAAAATTTTTCAATTTGACATAAGAAGCCATGAGGCGAAACATATACACGAAATCGGCTTATCTAGTAACACCACCTTATATAAATTCACATTGAATTATTCGTATACATATATATGTACGTATACAATAGCACCACATTACTACTAATCAATTAAATTTGGCAATAGAAATTTCCTTTTGTGCAGCTTATGGTGTAATTAAACGAAAACTGTTTATTCATAAATTCATTATTAAGAAAACCAGGCGATCGGCCATTAATTCGAGGCAGGAGCAGCTGTCGCATGAAAAATCCAAATACAAAATGCAAAATTTTTGCTAAAAAAAATGTCGAAACAACAGCAACATCAGCACTCGCCCAAAGCACCTACTTATTTCCTGACTGTGTGGAAGGTAATTGTAGCCTGCGTACGATACTTATGTATAAAAAGGGTGGCACAAATTTATATAAAAATTTTGAAAAATTAAAAAATAAAATAAATTTAAAAAATAAAATAAATTAAACTAAAATGAAGTAAAATGATACTAAATAAAATAAGGACACTTCTTCTTATTTATCGCTCCTCTTAAGCGATTTTGGCCGAGTTCAACAAAGCATGCCAGTCGTTTCTTTTCAGTGCCACCTACGGCCAATGGGAAATTACAAGTGAAGCCAAGTCCTTCTCTACTTGGTCTTTCCATCGCAGTGGGGAAATGATCTGATCTGAAAAAACGGTATACAGATCCAGCTAACCATCCTTTCAGCTCGATGGTGTGGAAATGAACTACCTTTTTGAAAATGTCCAATAAAGTAAAATTTTGGAAAATTTCTGAGGACCCAAAGCTGTAAAAACATCCGTAGATTAGAAGTTTAGCACTGTCTGAAAATTATTTCGATGTCGTCTGTTAAGCGTTTTGCATTCCATTATACCCACGAAAGGCACTTCTACTACTCCGCGTTCATTGAGTCTAGTTCTGGTCGTCTTTAGTGAAATTAACGGTAATACCAAACATAATTTTTTTAATATTGTATCCAGGCCTCAAATTCCTTTTCGCCTTAGTTGTAATTTGTAAAAATGTATTTCTGTAGATATATTTTTAATGGTCAGTAGCCGACTTTTCTAGCCTAGTCTTAGCTAAAAATTCAACATTTTTAATTCTTAGTTCTCTGTATTTGAAACACCCTGTACGAAAATTAGCTTCTCCTCCTTGTGTATGGTCCTAACTGCCCAATTGCGCACTGGCTAATTTACATTTGAAATTTATGACGCGTCACGTGAAAATTGGATTTAATTACATCAAAAATTACTGCTGCTGTTGGTGCTACTGTTATGAGCAACAACAAGAACAATTTCACAGCATTGGCTGAAGCGTCATCACCGGTTGCAGCACTTGATGAGCGCATTTTGTGATAATTTATTTTGTCGCATGAATAATTTAGCCAATTTGGATTTAAAATTGATCAGCGTCCGCAACGGTGCACTGAAGCGTAGAGTAGAAAAGACAAGGAGGAGGAGCAAGTAGCATAACAACAATATTAATAATACCGTAAGTGATGCACAGGATACGCTGTTCGATGTTGGCTGTTGCTGTGGCTGTGGTTGCTGCTGGACATTGGCATATGTTCATACAAATATCCATTTGGTTAGTGCGTGAGGTGTTTGTGTGTCCTATCGCAGTATCCATTTGATATTTTTGCATATTATTGCTACCGACATTTCGGTTGCTAGGAGTCAACCAAAAATCATCAGCAAGTGTAATAGCTGAAAAAATAAATTACAAAAATATTGTTTGTATGTGTGCATGTACATATGTATGTATTTTCATCAATTGCATGTTACAGGAAATCAAAATGACCAATTTGGTAAAGGTCGCTACAAACATAACCAAACAGCCAAAGTGTAACGACACTCCTATGGGATGTGTGAAGTAATGAAGATAACCCAACAAGCTATTATACATACATACATACATAAGAATGCATCTAGTATTGACTGATTAATTTTGAATCATATAACTTCGATACGAGCACGCAGAGGCGTAGCTAGGTTACTGATCTCCGCGCGTTGCTTTGATAGAATTTTGGTGGAATTTGATAATTTTCCATATACATATGTACATATGTATGTCTGTATAACCACTTAGTCAGAAGTAAAAGATGGCCATACATTTTTGGTTTTTTGATAGTTATTTATACAACATATTTGGCATTTTTTGACAGTTGCAGATTAAAAATTGGCATACAAAAGTGAACAAAGCTAACTCAATCTACTGTCCTTGCAACTCCGGCGCTCAAACAATATTATATGTAATTAGAAGACCCGGCGAACTTCGCCCCGCCCAAAATTTTCATTTTTTTATTGAAACTTTTTGGTCCAACATTTTCACCAACAATTCACGTTTTCGATTTTCATTGGCACATTCATCTGCTAAAATTATGGTTTGGTGGTCATTTGCCGATTTAAATAACCTAAGGAAAGTGTTATATCAGTGAAGAAGTTCTTGAAATTCTCCAACTGTGCAGCATTCCATATCGCGGTTATTAGCAAAATGAAATAAATTTGAAAAATTTTTTCTTCTTCACTCCCTGGCGGCAACAATGTCCCGGTTCTATAGTGAATTTCAAAATGGGTGCGAATCATTGTTTTACAGAAATGCAATATACATATACTTATTTCAGACGAAATACCTTAAAAGTTTGAACACATAATAATATTGGAAAATCACATCCATTGGGCCAATTGCAATGCGCGTTCGATATACTCAATGGTGCTATAGGTCAATTTAAACTGACCTTCACGGCACCTTTTCTCACTTGGCTATTTTTAGTAATAACTCGACTCCAGCGCCACTTGGCAGCACGTTTTTGCAGTAGTATTGCTCTTACTATTACCAATACAAATTTAAAATATTAGCCATAAATACGACTTTTAGAAATAACTCAGCTAAAGCGCTAGCTGATGGATTAAATTGTGAAACTGAACCATCCAGAGATCCACTCA